TTGCTGGGGAACATTGCTGCTCTGTGAAGAGGGTTTGGGGGGATTTGGTGATTAGAAATGCCCGGTTCCTGCAGCGACAGGGATCACAGTCTGCCAGGATTAATGCCATCTTGTTACCACTGAAGTGCTCTGGGGTCGGGTGGTGCATGGTGTCTGGGCAACGAAACCTGAGCTCTTGAGAGAAGAGGGGAGTTTTAATCAGGAACCGTGAAATGATTCACCTTTGCCAAGCCATTTGGGGGAAAGAGCTGATTTTTGGATAAGAGAGAGATCTGTGGAAAGATCTGTCTTACAGAGTCGTCTTTTGGCTGGCTGTGCTGCCTCTGTCTGTGGCACAGATTTCAGCTGAACTAATCCTGTAAAAATGCTGCAACATCCTCTTAATTCCCTCTAAACCAGACTTTCCTCGGGATAACCACAGCAGAGGCCTGAATCAGTGCAGGCTGTGTTCAGACGTTTCCCGTTGCCTTTAATCACAGTTTGGATGAGCTGAGCTGAGATGCTGGGCAGGGAGCTGGAAGGGCTGGTGGGTCTCATGCTCTCCTGCCACCCTTTGATGGGGCAATAAATTTGGCTGGAGGGCCTGTGAGGTGGCCAGGCTTCTTTTTTTTTTAATATATATATAATATTTTTTATATTTAATATGTATAAATACAAAAGGAGGGGAAACAACCCTTAAAATTCTTTCTTTCCTTGTCCAGCTTTCTACAGAAAAATCAAGGAGAAAAAGTCCCAGGAGAGAAGTCATTTGGGGCGTAGGCAGGGGGTCCATCCAGATTTGCTGAGTCCAGAGACAAGACAGGCCCCAGCTCTGTGTGAAAGCCCTGGTCCTCACAGTAAAAGGATGTGAGATTGTTCGTAAGATGATGGTCCTGCTGTGCTGACGCACATAACATTGCCCTCAGGATGCATGGGGCTGTGCTAAAGGGATTAAGAGGCACTAGAGCAGTCTCAGGGTTGTACTCACCTGCTGTTGTTGATAAACCATGGATATCGGCTCTGTAAAATCATGGGAGGTTGTACAAGATGCCAGGGAACGTGGTTTTGACATGCTCACTAGCTGGGGCCTCCCAGTCAGCTGGTTGCCTTGCTCTGCTCTGAGAGAGCAGAAGACACACCTGCCCCTCAGTGCCCTTCGGATGTTTTAAGGAGCTGGGCTGAGCCTGGTCAGGCATGGAAGGAGGGTTGGAAGGAGGAACCTACAGGTCTTCTGCCTACAGAAAAGAGAGATGACAGTAGCATTGGAGATAAATGCTTTGTCTCCAGCTATTTAACGGTGCTGATTCCTGCTCACCGAGCCTAGACAGGCCTTTCAGTGAAAGTCTAAACATTAACAAGCCGAGCGGTGTGCACACAGCGGAGCAGCTCAAACACGGCGTGGGTGGCATGCTGGCGGGCATTCACACGCAGACACAAAGGAAGGGGTCCTCCAGTGTTCAAGGCTGCCTTCTATCGCTTCGTCAAATATTTGTTTGCATCTGTGACCTTCCGGCATTCCCATCATGGGGGTGATTTCGGCTGCAGCTACGCTGGCAGCCACTTGGGATTGCAGCAGGGACCTGGAAGCAGGGCAGGTCAACAGAAATCCTCACAGGCGGGGTTCCTCCAGGAGGTCTTCATTCCTGCAGCACCCAGTGCCAGGCCCTGGCCAAATTCACCAGTGCCCTCTGGCAAGGCTCTCCCAAGTGCTCTTTTCTTCAGAAAGGTTTTTCTGAGGTAAAGTGGGGCCAGAGGAACCCCTGGTTTGGTGCAGGACAGTGCTGGAGCCCCGGGGATGGAGCTGCCCTGGGCTGCTTCAGCTGCAGGCCATGCGGTGCGAGGGGGTGAGGAGGAGCCCTGCGCCGCTGCCAGCCATGGGTCAAGGGCTTCCCTGCTCGGGGCTGCTGTAAGCTCAGCCTTTTAAAACACCGCCACGCCGGCCAAAAGGATCTTTCCACGTGTTGGGAAGGCAAATAGAGCCGAGCACCAGGGAGCAGGCACAACTGGCCTGTAGTTGCCAGCTCCTCTTGGCGGGTCAGAGAGGATGTTTCCTAAGACCTACTGTACGTCCCTCTTTTTTTTTTTTTTCTTTTTTTTTTTTTAAATTTATTTACAGCAGGGTGCAGAGCTGGGGGCTGGGGTAGGACACGCACAAACTCACCGTGTGTTCAGCATCGCTCTGCGGTCTTAGGGAATTCTTTGCACCCTGGCTGCCCCTCCTCATCTCCTGGAGCTGCAGCCTGCTTGGGAGCAATGCCACCGCAGTGCTGGGACCCGGGGCAGGTCCTGCCTCCAAAAATAATCCTCTGTCTGCCCAGTATCCACTTTATTTATTTATTTATTTTAAGCTGGATCCGTTCCCTGATCAGACTCATGACAGGGTGAGCTGTGGAGGGCCGCTGTGGAGGGGAAGGTGGCATTTTCCTGCACAGGCCCTGAGTATTCCCACAGAGGATGGCCTGGTAAGTTGGCCACCAAAAGCCCTGCCAGAATCAGAGCAGAGGGATAGAGCACCAAAAATATTGCCTGATGCTCCTCAAGCAGCAGAGACTCCCAGAGCCTGCAGCATCTGGTGGACAGGCCCTTGTTATTATGCCCCAAAGACAAGCTGTGTCCAAGGAACGTCGAAGAGCATTGCTGATGTTCGTGAGATAGCCTACAGGCTCACGGACCCATCCCAGCCCTGCTTAGTGCTTTGGTGAGACCATCTACCTGGGATAGATGTTTACCACCCTGGTCACACAGGGGTTTAGCACCCTGGTCACACATTTCAGGCTAGCAGGGCTCTTCATGTCATCTTGTCCATGATGAGTTTGTCCAAGATACTCCTGAACATCATAGCTAGCCTGTGTCAGACCCAAGAGGTTGTGCTGGCTAACACACACATCAGCAAGGAGGCCTTCCAGGCTGTCTTTGAAAGCCTCAGGAGAGATCATGAGTAGCAGAGGCTCCTGGGGAAATACCACTAAGTTGTATGTAGGAAAGACCTTTTGACGCTTTGAAATACTATGATGAGAAGGAAATAACTGTGAGGAAATAGAGACCAGGTCTTTGTCCTCTAGTGTAAGGTGACCTGGGGAAAGGGGGGAAAGGGATGGAGCCTCTGGTTCTTGACCTGCAGAGAAGTTAAGTTGTGCACCTGGTCTGAGCCTCTGCTGAGATGGCAGCCCCTCATCTGGGTCGATGCAGAGCTGGTTCTGGTAGGTGATGCTGAATCTAGCACAGGAACTGGCTCATCTGTCCTCTGATGGAGAGATGAGATCTCTCTCTGTTCCTTCTGGACCATTAGAGGGCAGTTCTCATTATTTCTGGCTAGTCTTCTTGCATTTCTCTGCCTGGTTCTGTCTGCATTGTGGAAGTCAGGACTTAACTTGCCTTTGTTACACTTCAGAAATTGGTTGCTTTGCTTTGTCAGAGTATTAGGCTAGCTCTGTGCCTTGAGCAACATGTCTCTAGTCCTTGGACAAAGCTCCAAGAGGCTGGGACATGGATCCTTCAGGCCCTTCCTCTAACAACAGTTGGGTATCTCTAGCTCTAGGGATTGGCAGGGAGGCTTGGTAATGCTGATGGCCCTTGAGAACGTGTGCCCTGACCCTCCCTGGCACAGTCACAAATTCCACTTGAGAAAGGGAAGTCAATAGGAACACCAGCTGTAACACTCACAAATGCCAGAAGATCATACTGTGCCTCAGTAAAGGACGAAAATCCCCAAATGCTGACGATGGCACTAATGTCTGAGGTGCTTCTCTGGCTCTTGGAAGAGGTTTGGTGCTGGGAGGTGACGTGGGTGGGAAGGCGAGTTTCACTTCAGCCATATGACCGACATCTTCTGCAAAAGCAGACCTGGCCAGACTACGGGCACCTGATCTGCTGGCCTTTGATTTCGTAAAAAGGAAACCCATCTGGTTGCTGTGGTGGGGAGAAAACTAGGGGAAGAGACATGCAAGTTGGCAGCGGGGAAGTCCCCTGGAAGCACCTTTAAACCATTAGCAGGACACAGCCTGGACCTCCGAGGTGGCCCACTGAGCCCAAACCTCCCAGAAGGGAGAGAACAGGGCATGGTCCTCACCTTCCAGAGGTCCCTCAGAGGTCACACCACAGAGGTGGGGTGCATCACACCACCACCAGTGATCCTGAACAGTCACTAATTTTGGGTGCCAGCTCTGGACCTGTGCTGTCACTGGCACAGAGGGTGGCACCACGTGGGTGGTGACACACTGCCTGCCTCATTCGGCGAGGATGTGACCTCCGGGGAGCGGATGGGGGGCATGGAAAACCTGAAACTTCGCTGCCACGTCATCCCACCTTGGTTTTCTCCTCGCCCATGGGCAGATGCCAGCTGTGGGTCTCATGGGTGGCAAAGCTGCTCCCAGCTGCTGGCACTGAAGCCCATCAGGCTCACGTCCCTCAGGACAAGGACCTACCCCAAGTGGTTGTGCCCGTCTGATGCCTGGGACTAGGGATCTGTGCCTGGCATTGGCTTTTCTGATGTCTGATGGTGGTTGAACTCATGTTCCTTGCTGGTGGGCTTTGTAGGAGCTCTTCTCCATCTCCCTTGTCCTCAGAAAACTTATAGGAACTTAACTATCTTCAACAGCTCTCACACCCTGCCAAATCTGAAAGCTCTTGGTGGGTTAAAATGTTAGAAGAGGGGGAGTGAGGAGCAGATGCAGCTCTTCCTTAATTTTTACGGCCTTAAGGACCCGTGCTAAAAACAAGTTAAGAAAAAAAGAGTTATTTCCAGGAAAAGTTTTCAAAAGTCTCAGCTTCATTTCCTTTCCAGGGTCACGAAACCTGCTCTTTGATAAAAAAAATGTAATTTAAAAAACATATACAAAACCAACAGTCTTATTTTTTTCTGCACTTTAATGTTGTAAATTCTGTGGGGGAAGGGAGTGCTCAGAAATAATGGCAGATGTAGAGAAAAAAAAAAGGTCTGTGCTTTCTCACAGCTTGTTCTTAGGAAGACACTTTTTTTTTTTCTTTTTTTTTCTTTTTTTTTTCTGACTAAGATCTTTGGAAAGTGGTTTTCTTAGCTCTGCCCTGACCTGAAACTGGTGGTAAAACTTGTCAGCGTGGAGAAACTGAGTGGCCTGGCCAGAGGGGAATAGCACTCATGGCAGCACCAGCAGCTTTTCCTCTGACTCCGCTGCACTGGTGCTGAGCGATCCCACCCGTGAGCAAACCCTCAAGCTGTACTGCAGCTGCTGACTCGAGGCACATTTCTTTTCCTAGATGTCACCTTGGGTTTCCTCCCCGCCTCCCCAGCCTCTCTGGGTTTCTAGGATGCCTGAACTCATTGCTGACTGTGGCAATGCTGATGTGGATGGGCTGGGCTGCATATTTGGGATCTGATTCAAAGCCCACTGAAGGCAGGAGCAGTTTGCTGCTGATGTCAGTGGTCTCAGCAGCAGGCACTGTGTAGCTGTTATTTGTTATATGGACGATCACAGTTAAAGGGACCGAAGGGAAAAAAAAAAAAAAAAAAAACACATTCATTTTAAAGGTAAATAAAGGAGGGGTGATTCTCTGGGGGAGGGAAAGATGCCCCCTTGCCCACCTTGGTGCCTCTGTGACCGTCACCAAAAATAATAATAAGAAGGGCCTGTCCACCTCCAGCCATGCCCATGGCTCGATGCCTGCTCTGCCAGCTGCAGAGCACCCAAATTAAGGATCCTGCTTAAACCAGAGCATTGCACCCCCAAAGCACAGAGACACCAAAAGGCAGGGGTTGTGATTATTATTACTTTTTCTAGTAATTCCAATTCTCATAGGGGCAGCTGCTCCAGAAGAGATGCTTATGCACAATGCGTGCAGGCTGGTGCAAACTCCCAGCGTGGGGCCAGGCTGCAGGTGAGGAGCTGCCAGGGGAGGCGTGTGAGATTTGGGTGGGTATTTAATTGGGGAGAATTACCGAGTCATTGGGACTGGATTGCTTATTTGACTTTCTTTGGGCTTCATCCAAAGCTTGCTAAAGCTAACGTGATTTTTTCCACTGACTTCCGTGGGCTTTGGATCGGGATCTTTGTGCCTACAGGGTTATCTCCATTTCCTGGAACTCGTTCGCTGTTTGAATTTGCTAAGTATATTTACTGCCAGCCTTCTTTCTTCTTTAACTCCCGCAGTTGGATTGCAACAAGTTCCCGGCAGCTGCTGGTCGCAGGGGCCACGTCGCTGTCTCGCAATCCGCCACGGAGGTCCCTGGGTGTCCCCTGCCCTGGCTGGCTCTGTGTAACCCTTACCGAGTCAGATCCGCTGTGAATTTCCCTCTTGCAGGAGGGGCTGAACCTTCTGAAGCAGCTGACGATTCAGGAGTGTCAGAAAGAATTATGATGCTTTTCTTTTGGAGCCTCAGACCCTCTCTCTCCAAGGCACGGAGACCTGCCTGCTGTCAGTGAGAGCGAAAGCAAGGCGCTGAGTTTGCGCAGTCCATAGTACAAGCTGCGATGTACTGTACTGTGCTGATACAGGTGCTGATGGAAATCTCAGTCTTTCAGGAAAATATGTTTGTTTTTCATCCAGGAGTTGAGATAGCCCTTTAATTTTGGGCACCAAACGAGAAAAAAAGAGCAGCTTTTAAGCCAACCCCCTCTTCCCTCGAGCACTTCTTAGCCCTCCAAGTAGACCTGGTCTCCTACGTGGGGCACAGCCTGTCTGCACATGCTGTGTATTTTCTGGAGACAGTGTTCAACCTGAGCGTCTGACCCTGGACTGCCATTTCGGCTGGGCTTGGAGTCTACTTTGAGCTTCGTTCATTTATTTTTAACTAGTGATTTGCATTTCAGAAGTTGATGAGTTGGTCTACAATTAGGAGCAGAGATGGGTTGTAGAGCAGCTTTACATTGCCACGCTCCAGGTAAATATTTCCCTTGAGCACACAGAGCCAAAGTACAGCTTGCACATATATAAAATCAGGGACAAGCTGCAGCTTTCCAGCAGCGAATATCCCTGTTTTATTCTGGGTCAGTGCTGGCACAGCCCTCTTCTGCCCGGGTGCTGCGACCTCTTGCAGTTATAGCAGGGGCTGCTGCCGCTGTGAAGCTCTGCCCCAAGCCTGCTCCTCCAGCGTCCTGTGGACACGGGAGATTGCAGCTGCTGTCAGAAAGCCTGCGTGTCCATTTCTAACCCAGATGGCTGGGAAAAAGCCTAGAAACTATAACCCTCTTCCCTCCACTAAGTCCTACTGAGTCAGAAGGACCCCAAATGAATTATTTGAAGGGATCCAGTGCTTTTTGTTTTGTTTTGTTTTGTTTTGTTTTAAGATAATCTTGGCACGTATGTCACATCATAATGCTCGGGGTTTACGACACGTTGTTCTTTGCAAGCGACTTCCACAGCTCAATTACGTCGTATGAAGGGATTAATTAACTTTACGAGAGTCGCAGCCTCTGGCAGTGGGAGCAGGAACCGCTCCTGCTGCCTGGGCTGGAGCCAAGCTGGTTCTGCACACAGGCTCTGCCTGGGCGCGCTCCTCCTCCTCCCTGGCACCCGAGCGGCACGCGAGCCTGGCAAGCAGGGATACAGCACACGGGTCTCCAAACGGTGGTGGTGGAGCCCTGCTGTCCCCCCTGCAGCCATCCCCCGAGCAGGACAGTGCTTTGGGAGGCGTTTTCCCTTTGCATGGGGTTGCCTGAGACCTCCCCACTGTGTGGTCCCAGGAGGAGCCCGGGCGGCGCGGCGCTGCCGTGTCAGAGCGCTTCAAACTGACACATGTCGCGATGACCTTATTTCCCCAGCTTTCCCTCGTTCGGCCTCTTTGTGGCCTGGTTTTATTTTTAAGGCCGTGGACAAAGACTGAAAAATGTTCCCCTTTGCCAAGGCGAGCGCTGGCCAAAAGTCCTCCGTGCCGCTGCGCTCCCCGCCGCTCACCCACGGGTCGGGAGGACCCCGCACCGGGCTCAAACATCAGCCTGGGCCCGGGGCGCAATCATGCTCGTAGTGGGAGAGGTCTGCCTTATTTGCTAAGGTAAAAACCCCTGAGCACAAGGCGTTGTTTTGAGGCTGAAAGGCGAGCACAGCGTGTTCTGGGACGGCGGGGCGCAGGTACGCGGCGCTGCCCTAAGAAGAGCAATTCAGAGCTGGGATTTACCTTGGCATCGCTTGGTGCCACCTCACACAGGTTTAACCTCTCCCAAGGCCTGACGTTCCCCGATGGATTTTTTGGAAGGAAAACTGCTTAACATTTATTTTCCCTCCTCCCTCCCCCCCCCCCCTTTTTTTTTTCCTTCTCATTTTCTCTCTTAACTTCTTCTCTTCTTTTTCTCCTTCTCCTACTTCTTCGTCTTCCCCTCAGGATCTGGTTCCCCGGCGCCGTCACGGAGGCCGTGTGCTCCGAGCGCTCCCCTGACAGCTGCTCTGCCTCGCTGGGTGAATAACCATCCCTAGGTGTGTCTGGACACATTTCCATGCTGATGTGGCAGATCCCAGGAGCTCTGCAGCCAGGCTTTTTCTGCACAGGCAGAGAGGCACTGCCGGCCCTTTTGCCTAGCCCCCATCGCAGTGGTGAGAAGCCGCTCTCCATCTTTTTTTAAAAGCCCCCTTTAAGTACTGAAAGGCCTCGCTGAGGTCTCCCTGAGGTCTCCCAAGCACAGATGGTGGGACATGCTCAAAGGGGAGTCCGCACACTCAGCGAGGATGTAGGAGATCCCTCCACCACTGGCCCAGCAGAGACCTAGGAGAGGCTGCATCCTCCTGGCTGAGCTTCTTTTCCTAAAAAGCAGAGTGGATGCTGCTGCCTTTCTATCCCGAGCGCTTCACAGCTGCTTGGTGTCATGTTCTGGAAGTTGGCATTCGTAGCACATCCGTGAGGACCCAACCCAAAGCCTCAGGGAGAGATTTTCCTGCTGGCTCGTGCCCAAGCGCCCCTGGGCAGCCCAGGACGGTGCCTTCAGACACGTGTGTTTGCCTTTCCCACTTGTCGCTGCTGAGCAGGACCCAGGGTAGGAGAGCCTCACACATGGTAAACGCTGCGTGCCAGGATGACGTGGTGGTTATAAATAAAGACGTAAAACCAAATTACCTGTCTGCAGGCGAGCGGCCGGGTGGAAGGCGTTATCTCTGCCTGCAGCTTTGATTGCATTACGGAAGAGCAGAAACCCCTTCAGATCTTCTCTCTGCCTTTTGCCATCATTTTGCCATCCCTCCGGGTACACCAAACCCTCCGACCACAGAGGTGGTTCAAACTTTTCTCCCTTTGGCTCCAGGAAAATAAAAATAAACAAAAACAAACAGCCTGGAGAGAAGAGTATGGTGAGCTGGTGTGGCACGCTGATGGCTGTCCGCATTTGCCTGCCAGTCACGGTTTCAGCTCCCTCTTCTCTTTGGCCTTATGACCAGTGATTGCCCTGTTACCATCTGCCGGCAGTGAAGGGAAACAAGCTGCCTGTCCCTGAGTCACCTCACCAGATTTTGCACGTCCTGAAGCATTTGGTGTTTCTCATTTCGGAGTCACAGAGCTTCTGTCCAGCCAAAATTTGGGGAGAGGCATAAAGTTACCTGCACCTAAAGGCGGTTTGGGAGGGAGGTGGGATGCTCCCCCTCCCTGAATGTCCCCTCCTGAGGATGAAGGGCCCCTGGAGGAGCTCCCACTACCTTTTCCTTGCCCAGAGGGGGACGCCCTTTCTTCCAAGCTGCATACAGCCCTCGGTTGCATGGCGAAGGATTAGGTAATTTCCTTCCCTCCCCTCCCCTTATGGAAGGTGCTTTGATTAGCATGACCATTGTGTTCCCAAATTAGCTCCTGTCTCTGGCTTTGCCTTTAGGCTGGCTCTTCCTGTCACAAGCAGGCTCTGGCACTGCGATGCAGCTTTCCACCAGCCTGCTGCTGACGTCCCAGCCACCCCGCTGGCACTGCTGGCGCATTGGGTGGGAGGCAGGGGCCTGATTCTGATAAAACCAAAGCAAAGATAAACCGCCTGCAGCCCCTGGTCCTCCTTGGCCTCAGGGGCTGGCAGATCAGACAAGAAGGGGGGGTTGGCATGCATGGGGTGGATGGACGGATGTCATGCCAGTAGCTGGCATCTCTCCTTGTCTGAATTACACATAGGCAGTCACAAACCATGCTGAGGTCGCTGATGAGCTTTTCCAAGATTTCCTCAGGCCTGTCATTGCCAGGCTGCCCGGAAGAAGCTGTACAACAGCTGGGAGTCCTGCAGCCCTGCCAGAAGGACACAGCGAAATGAAGACATTTTAACAGGAAAAGGTGCTTTCGGGCCATAAAGGTGGATCCAGCTGTTCTTAGCGATTCATTTATTTCCTTTGCACAGCTGTAAGATGAAGATTAGATGAAGATGGCGAGGAGATCAGACTTGGTGCTTGTCAGAAGATAGCTGAGGTGGGAAGGGACCTCGGGAGGTCACCTGGTCCATTTGTGCCAATATTGTCCCTATCATTCACTGGGACACCCCGTGAGCCCATCAGCTTTTGGATCAGGATGGATCTGGCTATGCCCCGTCCAACAGCTGCCCTTCCAGAGTTCACGTATCTCACGGTGAGACCACAGAGAGCTCGTCCTGCTGCTCTCCAGTGCCTGGGACAGGCGTGTTGAAGCTTTCAGACAAACAGGCTTTGATGTGAGGCTTGTGGGACCATGGCGAGTGCTGGGCTGAGACCAGCAGCAGAAGGCACAAAGGTGCATCTCCTCTGCCATGGCATCAGAGAGAACATGGAGGAAAGGGTTGGAGGTAGAGTTTACAGAGGAGCGAGGACAGACTGTGCTGATCAGGCACACGGCATGGCCAGACAAGCACACTGACCGGCCCCTGCAGGGCTTTTGTTCCCTTACCCCTGTTTTCCTCGAGTGACCACACCTGCCATTGTTCCTCCGGGCTCTCTCGGTGTGCCTGCAGGAAAACTTCTCCCTGCTTCGCCTTGCACATTGTTCCAGCACCTGGCACAGGGAAATTTAGGCTTTCTCTGCTCTCTGGGCCCTGCTGGTGCTTCACCCCGTGTTGGTGCTTCACCTGCAGAGCCACAGGCGTCATCCCACCAGGTCTGTGCACATCTTGTTCCTCAGCTCTGCGGACATCCCTTTCCCTTTAAGTTCATAAGCCACCAGGGTTGTTGCTTTTCCAAAATAAATAAATAAATCATTTAAGCCCAGAGAAGACCAAGTGACCCTTTTTCAGGAGGAGGATCCGGCCTAGCAGGATGCATGCCTGGAAAGTGAAGCAGGAGAGCATATGCTGGCTTACAATTTACGTCACAGGAGACATATGACTTGCCTGCAAACCACGTTAGCTGCTCTGAAAGCCATGGCTCTGGGTAATGTCTGTGGGCAAATGCAGCTGGGATGGCTCATTTTGCTGCTGCCAACCACACATCCCTCTTGTTGGCTTCCCCACATGTCTTCAGAGAAGGGAGGGAGCAGCTATGGAGCTACATCTCCTGCTCACAGGTCCTGCTGGCACTAGAGATGGGAGAAATCAGCGTGCAAAGCCCCCTTCCTGCCCGTGGTGGTCAATCAGGGACCCCTGAGCGCCATGGAGAGCAGAACCTGCTTGCAGAGCAGCTCTGGTCAGGCATGCATGCAGGTCTCTTTGGTGCCAAGTCTTGTCCCCAGAAGGTGTGTCCAGGGGTCCCAAATCAGCTAACACAGCTGGCTGAGGAGGTGGCATTGCAGTTTCACAACCCCCTCTCAGCTGAGGTAAGTCTGTCCAAGAAAATCCAGCAGCAGCACGAGTTCAAATGTGCTCTGCCTGAAGCCTCTCTGAAGACAGATGAAGGCACTGAAGAACCACACGGACGTTTGACCTTGCCCTGCTTCAAAGCACATGTCACCGTGCCTTCAAATGGCCCGGAGCAATCGGACACCAGACTTCAGGCAGGCCTACACAGGGGGAGCCCTGTTACGGCCGTGGAGGCAGAAGAAAGGACACCACAAAAATGTGATGTCCTCGATGAGGTCAGCGGGCAAAGCGGGAAGTAGCTGGGGAGGAAAGAAAGAGATTATCTGGTACAAAACTTTATCACTTCATCAGCTAATTCAGCTCCAGGCTCCTCATCAATGCCATCTACTTCTCTAATGGTTTTATTGTCAGAGGTCCGAAAGATAACGTAACTGAACTCTTGGCTCCTGGTTGCCATTTCTGCAGGCTGGAGTGCCTGGAAAAACGAGGGAAAGCACAAACTAAAATACAGATGTGTGGCTTGTGATTCAGTGCAGGCTAGTGGAGATGTTGCAAGAGCAGGGGCTGGCCAGCAGCCTCAGCATCACGCAGCCAAGGTGGTCTCCTCGCCTGGAGACAGCTGTGCCGTGACACCCTTTTCATAACCCCCCTTTGCTCCATCGTGGCTGGGCTTTGTGGCTGTGTGCTCATCCCCACCATAGGTTGGCCGTGCCAGGTGCCTTGTTTTGCAGGCTGAAAATCTGTGGATGGGTTTTGTGCTTGTTTCTCTGCCCGAACAGCCTCGTAACTCCTCACTTAATGCTCTGCTCTTCCTAGCTGTGCTGTTCTCAGGGGAATACCTTGCTGCAGAAGCAGGCCTGGTCACCTCTGCAGTGACACGGGGATCTTTCCAACCCAAAACTCGGCCACGCCACCACAGAAATGTCTGCAAGGAGGGGCAGGAGCGATCCAGAGGCGATTGCTGTGAGCTCCGTGTGTCTGCATGGCTGGTAAATAAAGCAGTGCTTGTGGTGCAGTCACATCCCGAGTCAAAGGCCGCCTCTCCTCTGCCTCCTGCCAGCCTTTGCGGCGTGTTTCTGCACCAGCACACCATGGCAGCACGGGTGGCAGACACGTCCCCACGTCCCCATGGGCACCACCAGGTCCTGTAACACAACGCAGGCCGTGTGAGAGCCGAGCCCCGGCCCCGAGGCAGGCCTCGGTCCCGCCTGGCCCTCCAGGAGGAGAAGGGAGCCGGGGAGCCCTGCGGAGCGTCCCCCGGCCTCGCAGCAGGGTTTGTTTGACGGCCCAGGCGCAGAGCTAAAAATATCCCCGCGATGGTTATGAGTTTAGGATAACTAATACATCCAGCGGGAAGATTTGGAGCTGCTCCAGGGCTAAACAACAGCTTCTTCACCGGCGGCCAAGGACTTGTGGATGCAAAAATAACTAGGGACTAAAAAACCTGAGCTGGAGCAGGGGGGGGGTTCAGATCGAACCCAAGAAAAACTTTCTAGCGGTGAGGATGACCGTGGAGAGTCGCCAGCACTTTGGTTATTTTAACAACAGGGTACACAGGGCTCTGGTGGGGCTGGATTTGGGCTGGGTGCTGCCTCTGGGCAAGGGCTGGGCAGAGGACAGCCAGGTCCATAACCTCCGTGCCTTTGCCTGAAGGGCTGAGCGTTGGATCGCTCTCTGCCCACCTCCATCCCTTGTGCTCGTGGGTCTTGCCAGTCCAGGTCCAGCCCATGGCAGGGAGCCTTGCCCTGCTTTGCCCAACCACCTGCTTTGCCTGCAGCGGGCAGAAAACCCACAAAAGTCACCAAGATCTCACGAGTGCTGAACATAGAAGTATCGGTGCCTATTTCAGGTCCCTCTGCAGAAGCCGTGTTATCGTAATTAGCCTGAAACGTTTCTCCCATTAGCATATTTTCCTCAAATTTCCTCACACCAGCCTGCATGAAACAGTCGCTTATTCTCCTTGCCATTGTGTCGAGATGTACCAGGCTGAGGACAGGACCTGCTGCCCGGCCCAGCCCGGCCTCAATAGCACAGCTTGTTCTCTGCACACAGGGTGGCGATGCCGTGGCAGCTGATGTAAATCCCAGGGATTGCCACCCTGCGAGGGACTCTGTCCACTGAAACGCATTAATGTTGTTATCCCCCTCGCTCTTCAATCACCTGAAATTTCCTTCTGCACAAATGTTGAATTTTCCCTGGGACCCAGCTCTGCTGCCTCCATGCTGACAACTCCCTGCAATAATGTTAAATTATCTCCCCCTCCCAGCCACTTCCCATCAGAAATGAACTTTTTTTCTCTACATTCAGTGCCTATTAAGTGCAGGAGCCACAGTGTGCACCACAACGCAGCCAGGGCTGAGCAGGAGATGGCTTTGAGCTTGGCTGAAG